CCCTCCGCCGCGGGGGCCTGAAGGGAAGGGTGGCCGGCGCTGCCTTGGAGCGGCCCTCTGCCTCCCGCCCGCGGGGAGGGGTGGTGGTTCCCGGGGTCCTGGCGGCTTGGCCCCGCAGCCTGCCCACGGATCGCCACTGAGCGGCAACCTGCGAGAGCGGTGCAGCGGTCTGTTGCTCCTGTGCGGCCGGGCAGTGCGGCCACGGGCTCCTCGAATCTGGTTTGGGGACCCTGTCCTAGCCGAGGCAGGGTCCGGCAGCTAGCTTATTCCGGGGCGGCGTGCTAATTAGTAGGTGCCTGACGGGACTCCACGTGATTCTCCCTAAAACCTGTAAACATGGGGGATAGAGTCGGTGGTCTGAGCAGAGTATTGCACTCTCAGTCTCAGATTTGGCAGGGGTTAGGATGTGCTGCCGTAGGCTTCTCCTTGTTCTGCCCAGTCTTGTGCTCGCATAGTCTCTGAATCGTTGCCTGTGTTTTCGAATACTTAGAAAAGCTTCCAATAAGCTACTGATCCTGATGCCTCTTGGAAAAAGCCACTTCTTTCTCTATGGAGACATTTAAACGGTTGTCTAACAGGTAAATAATATAATCAACCACTGTAACTAGCAGTAGATTAAAATGAATTAGAAAGGGGTAAGTCATGTTTAGAATTTAGCTTCCCTTAATATTACATTCAGGAAACATCGAATTGCATATGCTTTCCATTTATGGTCTTGTTTTTCCAAGAAGAGAATCTTGTATTAGGTTAAATTTGAGTCTGTAGTTGTGTCTTACAAAATAAGTAGGAGAGAGATCTGTGTTTCTGATGTGATAACTTTTTTTTAAATGTTGAGGGTTGTTACTCATTAGAATCAGTGGCTGTTCATTTGTTTTCACAGAATTCACACATTATTTCCTCAAGTGCTGTGAATTTATTTATTCCTCGTTTCAAGAGTAAAATAAAACTAAATTCTTCTGTAAAATGATGCAGAAATGTATGTGCTTGCAGGTGCAAAATCAGAGACTCATAGAATTGCTGAGGTTGGAAGGGAGCTCTGAAGGAAACTGCCTAGTCCAAACCCCTGCTCAAAGCAGGGTCAGCAAGGGCCAGTTGCTCAGGGCCAGGTGTGGGTGGGTTTTGAGTATATCCAAGGATGGAGACCTCTGGGCAACCTGCTCCAGTGCTGAGTCACCCTCACAGTTTAAAAAAAAAAAAAGTTGGTTTATTTTTCTTCTTATATTTAAATTAAATTTCTGATATGTCACTATGTGCCCATTGCCTCTTCCGTCACTGGGCACTGCTGAGAAGCCTGGCTCTGTCGTCTTTACTCCCTCCCGTCAGATACACAGCGATAGGGTCCCCCTGAGCCATCTCTCTCAAAGCTGAACAGTCCCAGCTCTCTCAGCCTGTCCTCATGTGACAGATGCTCCCGTCCCTTAACCATACCATTAAGCTATATTTGATGCTATATTATTATAGTGTTCCTGTACTGCTCATGTAATTTTCTGTTGATGCTTGCAGTAGAGTACAGCACAGAACTATGTGCCACTGAAGCTGTCTCAGGGTCCCCATTCTGCAATGTACTTCTCTGAGTAAGGACATTCAGGGTGAATTTACATCTGTGTTGGGCTGCTTTCCCAAGTATAAGTCTAGTATCAGAGAGAAATAAATAAAATAAGCTTTTTTCATGGTGCAGAACTTATGCTCGTTACGGTGTTATAACTGTTGAAATACCTGTGCTCTAAGGGTGATGTGGTGGTTTTGATTTCACGTTTCCGAACATTGTAGATATGTTTCCAATGTATTATTTATTAAAAAAATATGTAGGGGAGAAAAAAAAAAAAATATATTCACCTATGAGGTTTCTGTGTGCATCACAGAGAAGAAAAAGGGTTATGAGTCCATACTATAAAAAAGAGAAAAAGCTCTTGCAGTTCACCTCTAATATAACCAACAGCGTTTGGTTTAAAATGTTGATTTATGGCACATCTAATACAAGACAAGAGAACCAACAACCTATTAGAGTTCACCCTCAGCTTCCTTTTGTGGTAGCCTGGATAGTATTGTACAGTTTTTAACCTACATTAAGTTATAGCATATCATCATTTTATTACCAAAGGGAATGACTCAGCCTTGCCACCATTTGCAGGATTCGATTTCCCAGGCAACGATACAGTTTATTACACTGCTAAAATTAATTATATCTGCCCTGATAATACATACTTTGGGCTCAGTATGTGAACGGCCATTTCCAAAACAAAGGAATTTATGTCTAGGATCAGGTAGCATAAAGGAACAGCTGTAACAAATAAAGCACAGTTCTATTATGAATCTAAGTAGTTCCTTCTGCTAGAACTTTTTGAGTGCTTTATTTATGTGAAAAATGACCTAGTGTGCTTGAGTTGTAAGTAAATTCAAGCATGACTTAATTTATTATTCATGAACTGTCTTAACAATCACAATTTATTTTCAGTCTAACATCTTGGATTCTTATGTTACATATTTGGAAGAGAAAGTTGGCAATTATTTGGAAATGAAAAAGCAATTACATGATCT